TTCGAAAGCCATGGTCTAGACGCGGTTCTGTCAAAAAGAAAAGCCTTTTTCAAAAGTTCCTGTAAACCTCATTTTTTGAGGAGTACAGGATCTTTCAAAGAAGGCTTTTCTTTCCTAAAGAACCACGGCTAGACTGCGGTTTCACTTTCGAAATAGCGTTTTTTGAAAAAACACCGTGACGCGATTATGCAAATGAAGCACGGGAAATTCAAATCCCAGCTTCATTTGCAATTTTGATATGTCTAATTTACATCCTTCTTTTGAAAGAGGGATGTAGTTTAGATGTACCCTTTGACTATAAACCTGGAACTCAAGTAAAGTATCCTTGCATAATAGCATACACATCTCAGCTGCATGTCATAGAGGGAAATGAAAATTTTCACTGTGATCTTTCTTATACTGACACATCTCATGGCAATCCTATGCAGCACAGCGGAAGGACTGATCCATTCTTTCATCTCACTGTCACAAATAATCATTTTTTAGCTTTCTTTCCAGAGAAGTTTCTTTCTTATCTGCAATAATCCCATATTCCTTTCATATACTGTATCTCAATAATATTTAGGTGGCAAATGAATTTCTAATTAAAATTAAAACAAAACACTGTTGCTAAAATAGCTGAAATGTAAAAGCCACAAAATAACTGATCTTGCATAAGGGGGGGGGGGCGATAGCTCAGTGGTTTGAGCATTGGCCTGCTAAAGCCAGGGTTGTGAGTTCAATCCTTGTGGAGGCCATTTGGGGAAAAAATTCATCAGGGATGCTGTGAAGGCAGGGGACTGGACTCAATGACCTTTCAAGGTCCCTTCCAGTTCTAGGAGATAGGCAATCTCCATTAATTTATATCTGTATTAGATGCTGGCAGAGACTGGTACATTTACTACAAACAGTGGAGGTCAGGCAAAACCCACGCAGCATTTTTTCTTATTGCAGCAAACATTGGTGCTGCTAGGATTACTGTCACTAACAAACTGAATTAGATGTGTAAGGACAAGTAAATTTGGTCCCCAAAGAAAAATCAGTATTTGTATGTGGTCCTCTTATGCTGTAGGCTATGGGTTTCAAATACCATTTCAATAGCAGATATAATAGAGGTTAAAACAAAGACATAGTATCAGTGTTTCCTGGTATTGAATAAAAAAGGTTATTTCCTGAAAATCTGTATAATTTCAGTTTGCTATTCAACCAGCAGCAGAAGATGAATCTTTTCTGGTACAGAAGCCCAGTTTGTTACCCTCAATGACTCGGTGGTAAAATGCTGGGGCCCTGATTAACCAATCTCTATAAAAAAGAACAGTTTTTACAACATACTACAAGGCCCATGGGAGTGGACCAAATGACCTAAAAATTATTTTCCTATTTAATTTCTAGATTTATTGTGGATAAACTGTTTACACAGAAAGTTTGTTACAGAGATGGGCATGTCTCAGATAAGGTTAGGAAAGAGTCATAACACTACAAACCAGTCAAAGGACCAAAAAAAAAAAAAAAAAGAATGTTTGAACCTCTGTACTCCCAGAGCAGCCTCTGCAATTGTATTAAACTTTAAAAATCTTCAGTTAGTTTTTAGATAACTAAATACCAGCTTGAAATTGTTGATTGAGCAGATAATGGAAATAATGAAACTAGAAATAGGAATATGTATGCTTCCTGAAACATTACTCAGAAATTATGAAGCTTGTTATTATTGAAAACTAGCCAATTAGCCCGTCATAAGACAGGATTTTCAGGTCTCTCCTCCATGTCGATCTTCTCTCCTGAGCCTCCAATCTCTCTCCTCCTCCTCCGCCTCCTGCCTCTCTCTCTCTCTGTCTCTTCACCTCCCCCTCCTGCCTCTCACTCGGGGGACCGCAGAGCCCAAATGGTCATTTGGGCTCCGCGCTCCCCGTGTTGCATGGGGACCGCAGCGACCAAATGGCTGCATGTGTCCCCGCGGCGGCCCGGCTGAGCAGTGCAGAAGTTAGCCGAGCGTCACGGTGGAAGGCGAAGGATGTGACTCAGACAACAGCGTCGCCCAGAAGGAACAGCCAGCATTACAGAGTCACAGACACTGGGCTACTATATTATTGAAAATGCTTTTAGAGGATGTCAAATATGAAAGTCTGCAGGATTCCTAAAATAACTGCCAGACTATAGAAAAAGCACCACAGTATTTTCGCTGAGAAAATGTGTGAAGCACACAATCTGCCATATGAACAAAATAGGGTTAAACGTGTGGGTAAGTTGTACAGCCTGTATTAGAAACACTGAACATATTGCATCCCTGATTTCTGTCGTTATGCAATTCAATGTAGTCAGAAAACACAGATAAAATTCTTCTTATACCATAGGAGCATCCTAACTTTGCCCAAGCATGCAAGAAGCTTGAGGGCCTCAATTTGTATGCACACTAGAGCAGCCTGGAACCATCCTAATTATCAGGGCTCGACAAATAATACAATCTACTCGCCCGTGGCGAGTAGACTGTAACCCAGAAGAGCCGGATTCAGGCGATCTGCACATGCGCAGATCGCCAGACAGTGTGGCTGGCGAGCCCTGCTAATTATTAAAACTGCAGTGTAGAATTCTCTCCTGCAGATGCTTACCTCAACATGGAGAACTAGGGAACAAGGTTGGTTTTGGATTACTGGGATTTAGCAATTCCCAGGTGTATTTGCAGTTTTGCCACAGATTTCCTGTGTCACCTCAAAAAAGCCATTTAACTCTTCGCTTAGCGAAGATGCTATCTATGCCAATGGGGGAGCTTCACCCATCTACACATGTATTCCTCTGTCCCAAGAGCAATGTTATTCTGGCATAAGTTGGTTGTGAGATCAAGCCACCGAGGTCAATGGAGTTACATGACTGTAGAGGAAGGCAGATCTGATTCACACATGCTGACCTGTTTCTATCAGAAATTTTTTTTAAAATAAAGTAATAGATAGTTCACCACCTAAGATTTTAAACTGGGCTTCTGCAAGAAGCAGGTGTTAGCTGAGTCATAAGATCTACCTGTATTACTCAGCAGTCACTATCAGGCTTGCTCCAGTGTAATATGCATTAAATCTAGTATTTACCCTACCTCCAAGACAATGACACCGTCACAGTAAGCAGTCTTGCCAAGTCTTATTTACAGGCCTACCAACGTGGGGAGGGGCAGAGTGAGGACAATTGTCTTGGGGACCGGTGATTCAAAAGGGCCTGGGGCTCCTGGCCATTGCCACCACCAGTGCAGCAGTGGTGGCAGCCGGAGGCCGGAGTTCTTTAAATCACCACCGTAGCTCCGGGTGGCACTAAGGGCTGGCTGGAAGTGGCATGGTCCAGGCAGTGCTGAAGGCTAGCTGCCTCCAGCTCTGTCCCTTTCACCCAAGTCTCTGTCCCTTTGGGGAACCGGAGTGCCACCACTGGGCTCTTAAGCCTGGGCTCATCTGTTAATGTGCACGGTTACATGCAGCCCCCTCCCCTGCTCCTGCCGCTCCTTTGCTGCTGCCTCTGTGTCAGAGATAGCAGCATGGGGAAGGCAAGTGTATACCAGCTCTAATGGAGCCACCTTCTCCCCTGTGTCAAAGACAGCAGCATGGAGGGGGCAGGCAGGAGCTGGTATGCACGGTGCCGCCTGCTCCTCTGTGCTGCTGCCTCTGTATTAGAGGCAGCGGGAGGGGAGAAGGTGGGAATGATACTCAGGGAGCCGGCTCCCACAGGGCTGACTGCCTCCCCCACTGCGTGTAATTATGTAACCCTGTGGTGTCCAACAGGCTAGCCACTAGCCACATGCGGCTATTTGACTGGTTCAGCATGGCTAGTTGGCCTGAACAATGTGGCTATTTGGCCAACTGAGTGTGGCTAGTTTTCTACAGTGGCTACTGTTTCAGAAATTTACGGTAACCCTAATACACTATTTTTGACATCCCTGGTATTGAGGCATCCCCCAATTGCCAGTTTCTGTGCATCTCCTTGTCCTATCACCCGCATGGCTCAGAATAGGGTGTGTTGACATTAATGGTTCCTTGAGAGTTGTTTGCAAATATGCACATTTGTCTGTTAGGTAATTTGCAACAAATGTCACATACAGGACAGCAAAAATCCCACAGTTTTGCATAAGGTTAGTTTTGGCTGATCCACCAGGACTATAGGCCTAAATGTACACCACAACAGAAATTTATATTAGATTACTACAGGCTGAACAAAGGCGTGAAAAGACTCATTCACATACGCGAACTACATACAGAGATGTCCAAAAGTTAATACAGATGTAGATGTGCAACAGATCGACATGGTGACACACTTGTTCATTTCAGGCAACCAAATCTAAAAGTGAAGCTCATAGCAAGCAATAAACGAGGATACATCCAAAAATGAATCGGTGCTTCTGGCATTTCTTTCCCCACCCCACATTTCCTGTATTTGTGAACATGAAGACTACTAGTCTATGTTTCATATAGTCTCCGGTATGTAACCATATCAACGCAGCTGACTTCTCCTTGCTGACAGCACAATTTTCCCCTCACTATAACACAATCCTTGTGTTCATGTTTACAAGAGATTTAGCATATATCCTCACTCGAAGTGTCCAAAAACAGCAGCAGGTTATTACAAACACATTTACTATGTATTTCAACAACTTTTTGTTTTGACTTACAAATCTAATAAAATGGATTCCAAAATAATTTTTGGACAGCATTTCTCAAAGTTATACAACAATTAAGAGTATTTTTGTCCACCTCAGCCATAAATAAAAAATGCTGGCACTGCTTAAAATTCTCTCATTCGAAGTGGAGAAACTGCTAGAAGACAATTCCAGATTTATTTAATTTAACATCCTATAATCTCATTACATTTCTCAAGACACACTACATTGTGGGTGTTCGAATTGGACATAAATAAGATATATATTTTACTCAGCATACATAGCATTTATTCCGGATCTTAAGTTACAGTAAAAGACAGGCATAGTTTAAAGAATAAACTTTAAATGTTTATTCAGCTACTTTTACAATATGAAGATTTGGATGAAAACTTACTGTAAGATTCCAGTTGATCTGTGGTATTCTTGTGTGAAGATTTAGACTGAACATAAGCAATAAAGCTCCAGTAACTACAAATGCACTACAGCTCACAAACTCAAAGAAATAAAGGCCTCCACAAGGGGAGCATTCCATGATTGTCTCTATGCAGATGAATGCAATAAGTGCCAAAACCTAAGGGGAAAAAAAACAAATGGAAAAAATATAAATAGATTTCCACATTTTGAAAATAGCCACAAGTATTCCTGAAATTTCCATTGGGAACATGATCACTTTACTCTCAAGAATGTGCAATTTCAGTTTAGACTAGCGCACTGACTAAAAGGAACTAAAGCAAGATTTTTGTGCATGTATCACAAAATTTATAGTAACAAAATTAAACTGATTTGAAGTCAACGTAACCACTGATCACAGGCTACTAAAAAAAGGCCCCCCTTTAAGCCCAACATGCAAGTGACAAAGCAAATATTTAATTTCTTTTTTAAACAATTGACATGTCTTTTCAGAACTTGGAGAAAATATCTAACTGATTTTTCCTATTAGTACCAATAATATGCAGATCAATACCATTTTAAAATGCCTTTTCCCATTATATTTATTTAAAGGGTCATAGTCAACTTAAAAATCTAGTCAATTTCAATAAAAATGTTACTAGTCAATTTCAATAAAAATGTTAGAAGATCGTCGAATGTTACTCCTACCTCCACATACCTCACCCTATTGTTATGATTTGGAAATATTAATTCCCTATTTCCGCAAATACTTAATCTCCCCTCCAACCTTCACTGCTGAGTTAAAGCCTCAGATAAAGAGAAGAGTCTCAAGTTCTGATCCTGAAAATGCTTATTATATTCCTTGAAATTTTCACTGAAACTCAATGAACATGGAAAGTTAAGCACATGTATAAATCGTAAGTGTTTGCAACACTGGTGCTTTACAGACTACAGTATACATTTTAACTCTGTAAAATGAAAACTAAGATATTAGCAAAAGCCATAATAGGTATAAATTCAGACAAATGCAATTTTCAAGTTCACAGTTCCCTTTTAAAATAACTTGTGAAAAATTGAGCAGGTGACGACTTCTTGGTTCTTCATATATTGTGACTATTCGTGAACTTTATCGGTACAACTTAAGAATCCTGGTTTTACTATGAAGTTACAACTGCACTATGACTCATTGGAATGCAAATCATTAGTGTGTTAGAGCAGGCAGAAGCTCTTTCCTTCAGCTTTTCTACAGGGGGCTGATGAAATGAAGATGGAGTACATCAGCCACAGAACAAAGGAACCAGGTGTTAGTAGGGAGCCACAAACTTAACAAACTGAGGCAGGACAGGAACTTTGAGCAGGAGCAGGCAGGCAGGCAGGCAGGCAGGCAGGCAGACAAGCAGGTGGCCAGAAAGATGACCTACAGGGAGGCTTCATGTCTCTGAAGGACAGACATAAGCAGAGGAAGGATCCTGGACATCCCAGAGGGCTCGTCCCAAGCCCAAAGAACACTTCCGAGCCTGAAGCAGGGGAATACCTAGAGACATGGATCTATGTCTTATGCTATTAAGTGAAGAGCAATGGTGTTTTAGAATCTGTGCCAAGTCTATCTGTATCTGTACACTTCATTATCGCATGCCACTGAAGAAGTAAACAATAAACCCAAAGTACTTATGTGACTGGAGTTCTGGGAAAGGATGTGTCTAAACTTTCTACAGGGCCATAACAGTCTCAGGAGCAAAGCAGTTGGTCTGTGGAGTCTGTTTCCAGAATGGGTCGCAAGACACAATTTTACCCCGATTGCATGCCTAGAGACCTCACACCAAGGACAGGGTCTCTGGATTCATTTACTCTGAAGGCTTAAAGCACAAGGGACCCAGTGAAGTGGATCCCCTCATAGCAGTCTAGTGAGTGTCCAACAGGAGTTCAGTCAATTCTGTAACATAAAAGGCAGCCAGAAAGATGCTTGATTTTCATTGCCCACCCCACCCCATAAAAAGCATTTTCCCCATTTCTCAGAAATTCTGTATAACTGGAAGGCTCAACAGTGACCAAAGATAACATGGCTAGAGTCCTAAGAGATTAAATTAAGCAACTAAGAGGAGGTGTGAGATTTTAATCAAACTATTTAAACTCTATTTCTGTGTTAGTGTCTAAATGTAAAACAAAGGGAGAAATTTAACTTTCTAGCCTTTTTTATATATCAAATAGCAAAGCATATCAAAAGACTATGGGAACCCATAATAGAAAGGGAAATTCTACCTCCACTGAATTTAATTGCAAAACTCCCAGACTGTTCAATGAGGCGATGTTGTGCATACAGTTCTCTTAGTTCCCATATTCTTACCCGGCATGCTAAGCACTGAGTCAGTATGTTCATCTTTGGCAAACGCCATAAAACTCTGATTCCAAGCATACTCTTCTGCTCTGGCCTGCCTAAAGGCTAGTATCACGAGTTTCATCAATTTAGGGCAGAAGTGCTCTCCCATTTCAGTTCTCACAATCTCTGTGAGGTCCTCACATCTGCCAGGTCAAGTCAGCTCTGGGATGATAAAACTTCTGCCAATAGGAATAAGTTGGTGAAAACAGAAACGCTCATGTCCAACATCCCTTCCTACACTGGTTTTAGATACCCTAAATGACTTTCTGTAATGCCCTTAGAGATTTAAAAGAAATCTCTTTATAGATACTTTAATATGTGATCCTTGATTATACTGAAGACTCCCCTCTCTTCAAATTACGGGAGGAAATAAGGTCCAATGCTTAGGGCAGTATCCTGGAACTCCGAAGACATGGGTTCCCTTTTCTGCTTTGCCACAGGCTTCCTTTGTGAACTTGGGAAAGTGACTTAGTCTCTCTGACATCATCATCATATGGACCCATGGGAAAGAGACCCTTGAAGAAATTCACAAGGATTTCAACATCTTCCACTCCCACCATCAATCTCAACCTAGACCAGTCCACACAAGAGATCCACTTCTTTGACACTACAGTACAATTACATGACGGACGTATTTCCACCACTTTATACCAGAAACCTACCGACTGCTACACTTATCTTCATTCCTCTAGCTTCCATCCCAGACACATTTCTCCATCCACTGTTTACAGCCAAGCCCTAAGATACAACTGGATTTGCTCCAATCCCACAGACACAGACAAAAACCTAATAGATCCACAGAGTAGGGCTGGGAAAAACATGGCCCGGGTAACCCGATTCGGCCCGTGGACCACTGAAATTGACCAGGGGCTGACTTCGGGAAGCCAGGGGCAGAGAAGCTGGGATGCTGCCAGGTTGGTCCCGCAGAGCCGCCCTCTCCCAGGCTGTGCAGTTCCCTGCCAACCGCCCCCCCCCCCCCCCCCCCCCCCCCCCCCCCCCCCCCCCACCCCC